AGGAGAGCGCCAGTGCTTGCTTTGGTCTCCTCCCCCGGTGTTTCTGCTCCACGTAAATGCCTCAGAACACGTTTTCTGGTATTGGGATGGGGGTGCGTGTTGATCTCACATTTATACTGAGAGGGATTACCGTGTTGACAACAGGGCTCGATTCAGTTAAAAATGAGCTGAAAGCACGAGGCTGTGACATCCTCCACCCCCCCCAACCCAGGGTGAAATATGTGACTGTTGATTTTAAAAAGATAGTTACAGCCCCTGACTAGTCCAGCCCGACTGGTATTAACGGGAACAACAGCACCAGAGGCATGATATCGAAGACCCGGGAGTATTGCAGTCTTAAAGATCTGACAAGTTTGTTTGTTTGTTTGTTTGTTTTGTTTTTTTGTTTTTCTTAAATTGTGGGGTAGTATAGAGGGAAAAATAGTTGTCAAGAAATATTTTTTCATGTAACAGCTTTATTGCGATATTGTTCACACACCATGAAGTCCGCCCATTTTAATGGTACAATTCAGTGGCTTTTAGTATATTCACAGTTGTGCAACGATTATTATTTCAGGAAGTTTTCATCACTTCAAAAAGAAATTCCATACCTGTTGGCAATCTCCCCTCCTGCAGCCCTTGGCAGCCACAGTTGTACTTTCTGCATTTGCATATTTTATGCATTACATGTAAATGGAATGTACAACACGTGGCCTTTTGTGTGGCTTCTTTCAGCTTGCAGGACGTTTTCGACTTCATGCTTCAAGGCTCACCCATGTCGAAGCAGTGTCAGTACTCCATTCCTTTCTACAGCTGTGTAATATTCTATTGTATGGATAGACCACACTTTTGTTTATTCATTTATCAGGTGGTGGACCCTCATGCTGTCTCCACTTTTTGGCTATTACTAGTAAGACTGTTGTGAACGTTCGGGTACATGTTTTTGTGTGGGCATATGTTTTAAATCCCTTTGATATCTACCTAGGAGTAGAATTTGCTGTTGATATGGTAACTCTATGTTTAATTTTTTGAGGAATTACCAAGTTGAAGGAATACATTCTTGATGTTTTTAATCTTTGGATTGGATTAATCTCAGACGCCAGAACTGACTCAGTGCCAGGGCTTATTTCATCACATTCTCCCTTGAAGAAACCAGTGGACGACCGTGGACTCTGGAGCCTGGCTCCAGTTTGTCAAGTACAGATTAGGAGACCTTGAGCAGGTGACTGAGCCTGGGTTGTTCATCTGTCAGGTTGAAGCTAGAAATGCTCTTTTCTTAGGATTCCTCTGAAGTCTAAATGTTATAAGTTGTAAAGAGCCCAGTGCAGTCCTTTTCCCACTTTATGTGAGACAAATTTCCTCCTGTTGCATGTTTTGAATCTGGGGCAAAAGTGAACAAGAATTTTGCTGATAATGACCTGCTTCAGGGAAGACTCTTGCTTGAGGCTGTAAGGTTTACTGAGCTGTGGATTTGATTGTTGGCCTGCTTTTCAAGGCCTAGTTGGAACTGGAAGGGACCCAGAGGGATCTCTTAGTCCAGGGTGACTTTGTTGTTCAGATTTCATAGATTGGTAAACGCCTAAACGCTGGAGGGTCAGTCCTGGGCTTGTCAGGTTTTATTTTTGCCCAGATAGGATGATGGGAAAACAACTACCATCTACTCTCACTATAGTTTTATAAAAGCAAGACTTTCAACAACAAGAAAACAAGGAAGTTCGTAACCTAAAAATAAACGATAAGAATAATAGCGAATATCTCTAAAGCACTTACTAAACTTACTTAAGTTCAGCTTTATGGATGTCATATCCATTTTTCGTATTTGGCTCATTTTCCTTCAGACTAGAGAAAGTGAACACCTCCTGTCTGCACCCTGTATCTGAGACCACAGTCTGCCTGTCTTCAGGCAGCTATGCGCCTGTACACACTTGCCTCTTCTGTACATCGACTGTTACCCACAGGAGAGGCAGCGTGACCTACCGATGCGTGAGAAGGCCTGAGGCCAGGCTCTGTAGCTGGCCAGCCTGCTGAAGCCCACACCTTAGGCCCCTGGGAGTCGGGCTTGCTTTCTTTTTTAACTCTTCACAATTTCTGAGATCTATAATACATTAAAGGATAGCACGACAGGGACCCCTGGGTCTACTGTCCAGCTCAGGGGATAGAACATAACTGCTGCTTCTGAAGCCTGCTGCTTCCCTTCCAAGCCGTACTCCTCTTTGCCACCCAAGCAACCACGATCCAAATTCAGTGTTTCTTTATAGTTTTACCACCTGTGGAAATATCTCTGCAATATATTGTTTAGTGTTGCTTGTTTCTGAACTTGCCATAAATGCAGTTGTGCTGCTTGTGTGAATCCACGGTTTGTTCTGTTCACTCGTCATGTCTTTGAGACCCATCCATATTAGTGGAGCTATAGGTCCTTCATGTACACTGTTCTAAAGCGAGCACTAGAGCATGAACAGTGGACATGAATGACCTGTCCACCCCTCCCCAGTGGTGGTTCTTTGGAAGTTTCTTGGCTGTTCCTGACCATAAATTAACTTGCTACCTTCCATGAAAAATCTGGTAGGAATTCTAATGAGAATTTCATTGAATCTATATATATCAAAATGGGGAGAATTAATGTCTTTACGACATAAACGTTTTCTACCCATGAATATATCTGGGACCCTGTCTTTTCATTTCTCCAGCACCTGGCCCGTGGGAGGTCCTTACTGTTGTGTCCGTGAATGATGAGATTTTATACATCATTAGTTGTAACTGTAGACTTTCACAAAAGAGAAAACTAACTGCTGTGAGGTATGTGACGCCCTGATGTTCAGAAAGAGTGACAACCAATGCTGGAGTGATCCAGTGGACTTGGTGCTTGCAACCACGGTTCTCTGCCACCTATTGCTAATGGGATTGCAGCGTCCTTTAATTTATTTATTTTTATGGCGTTGCTTTTTTTTTTTACTTACTTATTTTTTAAATTCTTATTTTTTATTGAAGTGTAGCCAGTTTACAATGTTAGTTTCAGGTGTACAGCAAAGCCATGCGGTTATACATACACATACATAATATATACATATATTTCAGATTCTTTTCCATTATAGCTCATCACAAGACATTGAATATAGTTCCCTGTGCTCTACAGTAGGTCCTTGTCATTTATTTATTTTATATATAGTAATGTATATGTATTAATCCCAAACTCCTAATCTAAGCCTCCCCTCTCTCCCTGCAGCTGACCACAGTTTGTTTTCTATGTCCGTGAGTCTATTTCTAGCAGCATCCTTTTTTGCTAGTAATATATGCTGGTTGGCTGCTTTCAGTTTCATTAATTCCGTCTTGTCTGTGGGCGTTTTTCTTCTGGTGGGCCTGCATGTGGTTTGCATACGTGTTAATAGAGATCTGTATTTGGGAGAACTCCAGGCCCCGTGTAGTGCCTGGCACGAAGCGCCCGCTGAGCTCATGCTTGAACTGGGAAAAACCATAGTGAAGGTTGGAATTTCCACTGTGGCTCAGACTTCTGGATTTCTGTAACCTGTGACACCTTGATGTAGCCCGCCTTCATGCTGGCCGCACCCGTGCTGGGTAATCTGCTGGAACTGCGTGGTGTGGCGGTGTAGAGAGGGCTTTGTGTGCTTTTTCTCTTTCCTTTTTTCTAACACTTGTTCCCCTGGACCTTGCACGTCCTTCACCAGCAGCGCCCAGGGCTGGCTTGGTGCTGCGCTGAGGCAGTGTTTGCTAATAAGGCCCTTTCCTCATCTCCTCTGAGCCTCTGTTTCCTTCTCTGTACAAGGAAGGCTTAGACTAGATAAGTGTTTTTCAGTTTCTTTTAAACCTGTGCCTCCTTTTGAGAAACAAAAAACTTAAATCTCTCCTCCCATCCCAACCCTTCAGATTTGGGTATGTCCTCTAATGGATGACATGGCTGCTCTTTGTTGAAAGTTGGTGTGATTCTGGTTCTTTCCAGGTGGTGCAGAAAAGACTCTTCAGAGAGTTACTGCAGGGAGGGGGCAGGAGGGGGGCAGTGTGTTGTGCTTTATAGTGTGAGCCCTGGAGCAGGGGCTTGGGTTTAAATATGGCCTCTGACATGGCCTCTCTGTAACCTTGCTCAATGTGATAAACCTCTCTTTCTCTCAGTTTCTTCATGTGTCAAGTTGGGGTGATACTATTTTAGGGTTTTCTGAAACAATACACACATGAGCCATTTGTGTCTGGACAGAAGTAAGACCTGTTAGGAGTCAGGGATTTCTTTAAAAAAAAAAAAATCCTGTTCATACCGCTTGGCCTATGTGTTATTTTGAAGTTCCTGGAGGGTGAGGGTTGAGTCTAAAGTCCACGATGGGACAGGTTGCCCCAGCGTCTGCGTGCCCCAGATTGCCCCCCACCCCAGTCCTCTTCCTCTCAGCCCAGGGTGAGGTTCCTGCCATTGGAGTTACACAGAGGTCTTTGCTCGGGCTTCCTCTGCCTTCCGGTGGGTACACAGCGGATCACCGCACCTCAGCCTCCTCTCCCCTCTCGGCAGGGCCTGCAACATGAGCGTCCCCGACTACATGCAGTGTGCTGAGGACCACCAGACTCTCCTCGTGGTGGTCCAGCCCGTGGGCATCGTATCGGAGGAGAACTTCTTCCGCATCTACAAGCGGATCTCCTCCGTGAGCCAGGTCAGCGTGCGCGACTCCCAGCGCGCGCTCTACATCCGCTACCGGCACCACTACCCGCCCGAGAACAACGAGTGGGGCGACTTCCAGACCCACCGCAAGGTCGTGGGCCTCGTCACCATCACCGACTGCCTCTCGGCCAAGGACTGGCCGCAGACCTTCGAGAAATTCCACGTGCAGAAGGAGCTGTATGGCGCCACGCTCTACGACTCGCGGCTCTTCGTCTTCGGGCTGCAGGGCGAGATCGCCGAGCAGCCGCGCACCGACGTGGCCTTCTACCCCAGCTACGAGGACTGCGGGACGGTGGAGAAGAGGATCGAGGACTTCATCGAGTCGCTTTTCATCGTGCTCGAGTCCAAACGCCTAGACAGGGCCACCGACAAGTCTGGGGACAAGATCCCCCTCCTCTGCGTCCCGTTTGAGAAGAAGGACTTTGTGGGACTGGACACAGACAGCAGGTAAGTCTACCTGGAGGCCTGGCCCCCCCTGGCTGTGTGCCGCGGTTGCCTCCCTACATCCAGAAAGGGCTGAGCCAGCAGCAGGGTTGTCTTGCACCGAGGAGGGAGGGAGGTGCAGCCTGCTGGTTTTCAGACTTTTTTTTTTTTTTTTTGGTTTTCAGACTTTTAAAAATGGGACTGCCTTTGGTTCAGGGAGATCCTTTGAGGGTTAGTGTGTCCTGGTTTCAGCCAGGACCCCTGGTGGGACCCCTGGAGCTGCTGTCCAGTAGGGTAGCCACAGGCACGGAGGCTGGGAGCTCTGGGGAGGAGGCTGGTCTGAGCTGAGATGTGCGTTAGGTCAAATGCACGTCAGACGCTGAGACTTAGTCTAGAAAAAATGTTCAGTATCTTGATACTTTCTATGTTAACTACATGTTGAAATGGGAGTATTTTACATATAGTAGATTAAGTAAAATCTGTTCTTAATATCAGTTTCCAGTGTTTGTTTTTTACCTTTTTTAATGTGACAGCTGGAAAACTTTCTTTGCGTGGCTCGCATTTCATTCCTATTGGACATCCTGCCCCGGGCACAGTCCCTCCCTTTGATGTATCGGTGAGGTGCTGAATCCCGAGAAGCAGCAGAACTAGGGGTGGAGCCGGTGTCTCCTGCCTCCTGAGCCTGGCACCTGCTCTGCTCAGGCCCCTCTACCTGCCTGACAGCCACCATGCCAGGTTAGGACATCAGGAACGTCACCAGGGACTTCCGAAGGAGCTCCTTATGCAGGGGAAGGCGTGTCACAGGGAGTATGGGATAGAGCAGGGAAAGGTCAGTCCTGGATTTGTCCCTGTGATTAAGTCCACGGCCCCACTTTGCCCTAGAATTGCAGACAAGCTCTTCTGGGCCGTCTGCCTCCTTTGCCTGCTGCTCTGTTTCCCTGTGTGGCCATCGTGCCGTCACTCCGGCAGCAGAGAGCGAGATGCACGCCTTTGTTGAGAGGTGGCCCCCTTTTTCTGGGGAGCACGTGGGTAGCTGTGTCCCCCCGGCCTTGGACCTCAGGCTCTGAGTCTGTCCTCCCCGCTCTGGAGAGCTCGCACGGTAGTCTCACAGGTGAGGGTCGGAGGACCTGCGGAGTCGCTGCTCCATGTTTCTTGAACTTACCCGAGGTCAAACCTGACTTTCTGGTTGTTGGTAAGTTGGAGGAGAAGATGCCAGAGAGTTGACAAAAAGAAAGTCCAGGCCAGCCCTGCGAGTGAGAGGCACAGGGGCCCCGAGTCCCACCTGTGCGCGGTGCCTGGAGGGCTCTGGGGAATTTTCACTTCCTCCCCCGGACCTGTTTCTGTGGCTTCAGGAAAGGGCAAGGCATGTCATAGCCACAATCTGTACTTAGTCCTCACAGGGTCCTGTGATCTACACGCCAGCGCTCCCCTTCTGCTCCTGGGAGCTGAGGTAGCAGGTTTAGGAGCCTGGGCACTGCCAAGGGCACAGCTGCCAGCACCAAGCCACTCCCACGCCGGCTCCTTTCACCTCACCTGTCGCCTCCTGCTGAGCCCCAGGCATCAGGCGAGGTAGCCGCCCAGGTGATGGTCCCTCCCAAGGTGGGGCTGCACGTGTACACAGCACCTGCTGTGTCTGCAGGGACCGCCTTTTCCCCCTGGACAGGCTGGTGGGTAAGTGGTGGAAGCCAGGAGCCCTGCCCCAGGCCCCTGGCCAGTGCCTCCTCTTTTGTCGTGTGAGGCACTGGTGACCTTTTTGCTCATCAACTTCTTGGCTCTGAGTCTGCGGACCCACCAGAGAATGCCAGCTTGTTTTTGCCTTTTGAAGTCTGTGCTCAGGATTTGGCGGAGTAGCTAAGTTTCAGAACACTGTGCTTGGCGCATAGTGGTTGATACTGTCACCAATGTTTACCCAGTGCCTTGTGTACCAGGCACGGCTCTGGGCATCTAAATACAGCAGCGCATTAAACCTCCCTCCTGCTGGGTCTGTCTGTTCTGGTACTGTAAATGCTCAGCCGGCATTTCAATGTCAGTGAGATAACGATGCCAGTGAGTTCAGATCAGACACATTTTACTCCATTGTTGCTTTCACTATCCCATAGTCATCTAATTTTTAAAACAGTGATTTGGTGCCAGAGCAGAGCCTAACTCTCTCCTGCTACTCTTGGTGGGAGTGAGAAAAAATGTTCAGCCTGAAATGCGATCCCATTTTGTAGCTCGACAGACGTCTAGGTACACGTAGGTGGAGTTTTGGTCTGGGGCACCGACCACGCTGGTGGCTCCACGGCAGTGCCGCTCCCCTCCGGCACCTGCCCTCCCTGATCTCACTCATGTCCACGCGTGGCCCGGGCCTCATCACAGCCACATAAATTCTTGTACATGCTGTCAAAGTTGTTTTTGTTCTTGTGTGTTTCTAATTTTTGCTTGTTCCTCTTTCTTTTCCTTTTCCTTTTCCTTTTTCTCTCATACTGCCCTGTGAGTGTGTTGTTGGGTCTGAAAAGGTAGGCTGTGAACACACCGCATTGACAGTAGCTAGACTGCCCTCTGTGCTGCCTTCTCACCGCCTCCATCGCTTTAAAAATCAAAAACTTAACTGCTGCTTTGATCCATGTAATATCCTGGTTGTCTTTTTATTTTGTAATTTTTTGGAATTTTTGCTTTGTTAGCATGTAACCCACTGGTGTTTGATATCTGTTAAAATCCTTGCTTTGAGGAACCTGTTTGGTCCTCCATATACTTGGTGACAAATGAGCCCATAATTTTTTTTTGTTTTGAGGAAGCGAGATGCTAATCAATTTAGGCGGCTGCCAAGGGATTTTTCACGGGGTATTTTAACTTGGAAAGTCAAAGTCTGCAGCACCTTGCTTGATTCTGGCTTTTAAACGAACGTGCTCGGCACGTAGTTCTTGGCTGTTGCTGTGTGATGTGCATGACAGTGCTTCCTGGCCGGCAGTCACCGGTGAAGACGTGGCCGGCTGGGGAGTGTGCTGGCCGCAGAGGGACGCTGCTGGAGGAAGCAGTCACCAGGTTTTCTTTTGCTTCCACCTTGACCATGCCATTTACTTTACTTTGCCTTCATAAAGGGGTGGAAGCTGATCTAAAATCCATGCTACTCTTTTGTTCCCTTTATGAAGCTGATTTTTCTAAGTATCAGGAAAATATGGCCTTTTCCTAAATAGTTGGTTCATTTGGATCTAGTGGACACAGGGACCTTTATAAGTGACCATAGCTTCCTCTCTGCTTTAGCCAGTGAGCATTCAGAGCGGGGTCTGTGGTTTACCTTAGCCTCCCTGCTCCCCCCTTTACTCTTAACTCATGTTGGCAATAAATAGCTGATTCTGTATCTGTTGTGGCTAATGTCCACCACTGATGGCCATGTTATTAGTTTGGGGTAATGAAACTCCAGGTCAGCTGTGAAGGGAGATGCTTTGGCTGACCTAGGACCTCACATTCCCCTTCCCAGCCCACCTGAGGTTCACCTCACCCAGGGGAAGGGTTTTCCCACCACCGTCATGCTGGCCACAAGGCCTTGTTTCTCCTTTCACGTTCTGGTCCAAATGTGGACGCCTCATCTTTCACTGACTTGGTCTCACTTGAGATAGGCCAGACTTTCTGAAAGAGTCTATCACATTCTGGAGGTGGGGTGCGGGACAGAACAGAAGTAAGCGTAGCAAGTGGGCGGAGTTGAGGCTGTGCAGGTTGGCAGATGCAGGCTGGGGTCTGTGATGGCCGGGCTGCGTCCCGGATGCAGGGCCTTTCCTGTGGCTCCTGAGAGCCTGGGGGTCAGAGTGAGAACAGCCTTGCCTGGGTTCCTCCATCCTCACCTGCCCACTGGCTCATATGTCCACTAACTAGGAGCTCCCCAGACCTCGGGCACTTCGAAGTTCAGACCACAGGAGAGCCTCGAGTCCCTTCTCCTGGGCCTCCTGTGCGAGAGTCCAGTGTCTTCTGAGGTGACTGGTGCCAGGAGACACTTCCCCCTGCAGGGAGCACCTTCGGAGGACTGTGACTCAGCGCACCCTGCTGTGAGCTTGCAGGGTCCCTGCCGTGGTCTCTGCAGAACCAGAGTCCAGACGGACTTAGAGACAGAAATGACAGCACCGACTTCAGGGCAGGGCTGGGGGGAGGGATGGGGGAAATCAGATGTGACCTCAAGCAGCTGGGCGGGTGCCAGGACTGGTACTAAAAGGCGGGAGACCGGGAGACTGGGAGGTATCTGCCGGGTGGGGGGGTCGAGTTCCAGAGGAAATGGTGGACGTGAGGCATTTTAAGACGCCATTTGTCGTCCAAGTGACAACTTCAAATTGATGGTGGGGTTTATGAGCCTAGGGCTCAGGGGAAGGAGCCGAACCAGAGAGATTTGCTGGGAGTTGTCAGTTTTAGCTGGTGTTTCCAGCTGTGTGTGTGGACGAGCTTATCTCGAAAGGTGTGGACTGAGGTGGAGGGAGGGCAGGGCTGCGGCTGGGTTGGAGAAAAGCCTAGGCCATGCAGCTTTGGTGTGTCACTCGAAGGGCATTGGGGTTTTCGGAGCAAATGCCATTTATCCTCAAGGTGCTGAAGGGAGGGACGTGGCCAGGGGTGCATCTTAGGAAGATGCTGTGGCAGCAGGTTGGGGCAGCTGGAGTTGGGGGTGGGGAGAAGGCAGTCGCACTCACCTGTGAGGGAGGGAGGGAGGGAGGCCTGGGAGCTCCCCCAGCCCAGCGGACTCCCTTTCCCAGGGACAAAAGGCGACCAGACAGGGAGTCCAGGGTGAGAGGGGAGGGGTGCTGGGGGGGGAGCTGACGCGTAGCGGGATTGTTGGACAGTTCTGGAATAGTCTCTCCCCGCAAAATAGACTTAAAAACCCCAAACCCTTAAGAACACTGATAGTTACTAGGGAGGAAGCAGTTCTTTTTCTAGCCTCCTAAGGGTAAGTAAGGCATGTATCAGTGAATCGGACAGTCTGTCCCCGGGACTCAATACTTACCAGGAGGAACAGTGCAACTTTAAAAGGGGAGAAGGGCAGCGGAGGGACACTAGCCAGGCTCTGTGTCAGGTACAGTAGGCCGCCCTGCCTGCATGTGTCATTCACACCACATCCCTGCCTCCCAGGTGGGCGGTGGCAGCCCCCTTTTGCAGACTGGGAAGTCTTGTCAGAGAGGTTAAGTAATTAGCCCAGCATCACACGGCTAGTAAATGCTGTGGCAGGATTCAGGCAGGGCCTTGGCACACTTCCAGGGCAAGTTCTCTCTACTAATTCCGGTACCTCCCTGTTACATCTGGAATGGTAAATAGATCGGTTTTGGAGCCTTTCAGAAAAGCTCTCTGATTTAAGTGCCTCAGATCTGTTTCACAAAGCTCAGAGTTCTTTGACGGTTCGGAAGCATCACAGTGCTTTATGTCCCAGAGACGTAGGATCTTACTCCTTTGACGATGACGTGGATGCAGGTGATGGACAGGTGCAAAGTCAGTGTTAGAAACTTCTGAAGGGAAACTCTCCAGTTCTCCCTTGATCGGCTTTCTTCCGTGGGATGTAACTCTGCTGCAGCGCAGGCCTGAGCTTTCCGTACGGAGCGAGCTTTTAGTATCCAGCATTATCGTGAAACGGATCGGATGGAGAAAATTGACATTGACAGTCTATTTTCAGGTTTCATTAGACAAGATGCACTGTCAGTTAATGGCCCACATAGTATCTGAAACTGAGTACGAAACATGGCATTTCTTACTTTCTATTTAGAGCTGTCTTCCAGCGCAAGGTTGTCTGCTTTGGAACTTCGGCTCCAGCACCAGGGCGCCTGTGGTGTGTTATGTGACTGCATTTACACGATGCACATAATCTGGGCTTCCTCAGCCCCAAACACTCCAGCGCAGAATCATGGGCTGTAGCCATCACTTAGTCATGCAGCTACTTCTAAAACTCTGTTGCCAGGAAAAAAAGAAGGGAGAGAGAGACTTCCTTTATCAAAGTTCCTTTGGACTTTAATTGCAAACTGTTGTTGAGCAGCTCCGGTTTCCTTTGGATTCGAGTATATACGTTTCTTTGCACGTAAGTTGGTTTTTACACTAGAGCACCAAAGCCCTTGTGTTCCATGAGCCACAAAAATCGTACCCAAATTGCATACATGTGAAACATTTTATTCTTTTATCCGAGAAGGAATCCTTGAATTTGAGACTTGGGCTGCGATTTTGCTGTTTGCTCCGCGCACCCCTCTTGTCATGTCATCTCTGGCTCCTTCTTCCCGCGTGGCCTCAGAGAGATCGTGGTCTCAAAGGAGGAGGTGAACAGACACCCAGATGGTCACCATGCAGTGCTGCTGTAGAGGGAGCCCAGCCGAGAGCTAAAGGACATTATCAGGGAGGACTTCCTGGAAGAAATGGGCTCTGCATTCAGTTCTGAGGACAGAGTAAGAGTCAGCCAGGAGAAGGGGCCAGGAGGGTGGCTCAGTGGCAGGCGCAACCTGAGCAGAGGCCTGGAGGCTTGTGGGGAGGGGACTCGGGGACAGTGCCCTGTGCGGTCCAGGGTGGAGGGTGCCCCTGCTGGGGAGGACACTGGAGAGCGCCTGGGGTGGAGGGCTTTGGAGGAGCTTGGGTTTATACTAGAACTGACACAGAGGAGGCAGTGAAGGGTGTCAGCAGGAAGTGATCCACAGGAGAGGTACTCCCGGTTTTGCTTCTGCTGACGTTCTACAGAAAGAAGGGTTGGGATGGGCGAGAGAGCTCTGTCTGTCCCTTTGAGACCCACCCCTGCACTCGTTTATTCCCAACACACACGCCTCTTAGTGCCTAGTGGGGAAGGGTGGACCCACAATAGTAAGCAAAATGAACTTGCCTCTTGGGAGCTTATCAGTGTCAGAAGTTGACTCAGTGTAGAATGTTCTAGGAACACAAGAGGGGCCCCTAACCCAAAGTGCAGAGTTTGAAGGCAGGGAAGGCTTCCTTGAGAAAGAGTCAAAAGGAGCCCGGAGGCAAGTGGGAGGTAGGTAGGCAGAAGGGCAGGTGGCCCCTGAGGTCACTGGGGATCTTGATACGGTGGTGAGGCTGGGTGTGCAGGGCACAGTGTTGGGGGTGGGGGTAGAACTCTTCCAGGGAACCTCTGAAGGGTTTGAAGTGGGGGAGTGACCTAATCAGATTTGTGGTTTGGGAAGGCCACCCTGGCTGTGTGTGTATCTGTGTACGTGTGTGTGTGTGTCTTGTGTGTGTGTGTGTGTGTGTGTGTGTGTGTGTGTGTGTGTGGTTGTGTGTGTGTCTGTGTACCGGGGAGGATGGGGAGGGTGCTACCAAGTGGGAGGGTGGGAGGGTCATTAGAAGGCCATTCACAGTCTGGCGAGGTGACCGGTGGGAGGGGGCTGGCGGGGCTGCGTGGGGGTGGCGGGGGCAGTGTGGATGTAGTGTTTTCTTATGGGGAGGGCTTGTTAGCAGGCCCTCCCAGCGGGGCCTTGTGGCTGAAAGAAAACAGGCGGAGGCCAGGCTGACTTTCCTCTTCTCTCCTTCCCTGCCTGGTGTGATGATCTTAGTTCATGCAGCATTTGGAACAGAAGAGCTAAGTTCCAGGAGTTTGTTGAGCTCGTTTGAGTGAGACCCTATAGGGTTTAGGTTTGTTTTGGGATCTGTACGTTCATTTAGCTAGAAACTACATCTTTCGGATTTCCATAGGGGTTTTTGTCCTTGATAAGACTATTTTCTTGGTGAGAGGAAATTTGATACAGCTGCTGTTTTTCTTGAAAAAAACTGTATCTTTTAAGGAATTTAATATTCAAAACAATAGGAATATTTAAAAATGATAAAGTAAGGCTTTGGTGCAGTTTCTTTGGTTTCTGAGTTGATACAGAGTTAGAAGACTTTGCATTATTTAATGGCACATCCTTGCCAGTATTTAAAGAGCTGTTAGTGAGCGCCCCAGGCCCACCTCTCAAAGCATCACAAAAGTTTGCTCTGAAATAGTGAAGTCACAAAGGTCTTCTTTGCAAAAGCCCAGCAGCTGGTTTATAATATGCAGCATAGCTCTCTTTATAAAATGATAATAGGTTCAAAGTTAAGAAAGTGGAAGATAATTGATTTTTTAAAAAAGCTGAAATATGAACTTTCTTGTGCTAATGTTGTGACTGGAAAAGTTGAAGAGAAAAATCCTACCCTGATATCATCTACGTGAAATTCATATACACCTGCCACGTTTAAAAACAACTTCACAGCAGTTTTTGAAGTCAGGACTGTTCCAGCTCAGATACTGGCAGTGACGGTTGCTGGCTTTCAGTTGTAGAGCCCAGTTTGCCTTCTTAGCATTCTGCTGTAGGGAGAGGGTTGAGTAGTGCCTTGCCAGCATGCTTTTGGGGCAGACGTCATGCACTCTTGGTGATACATTTCCACGTGTTTTACTTTCCAGACATTACAAGAAGCGGTGCCAAGGGCGCATGCGGAAGCATGTGGGGGATTTGTGCCTGCAGGCCGGGATGCTCCAGGACTCCCTGGTCCATTACCACATGTCCGTGGAGCTGCTCCGCTCAGTGAATGACTTTCTGTGGCTTGGAGGTAAGATGGTCTGATGCAGAGGATCAGATGTGTAGTTAAAATGCTGTCACTTGAAATAAGAGAAAACCGAGAAAAATGGCTCTAAAAAGAGAGAAGGGAGGAGAAAAGTTGGCTGAGCTGGTTGCAGCGGGGAATCTTCTCACCTTGTCTCCTGCCACTCTCCCCTGCGGCCCTGCACGGCAGTCCTGCCGAAGCAAGCATGCACTTTCCTCAGAAACGCGCTGAATTGCCTTGTGCCTCTGTTTTTGGCTTTTTTTTAAGCACATCTTGCCCTTTGCTTAAATGCCATTCCTGTTAGTCACCTCTTACACTCATTCTTCCAGACCTTGTCCATACGTAGCTGCTGAGTGGATGAACAGAATGCAGTATCTCCATGTAGTGGAATATTATTCAGACAAAAGAATGAATGAAAAAGAAAAAAAAGGGGAAGATGAAAAAGGCCACCTACTCTGGAAAGTCCACCCTGATTGCTCAACCTACCCTTTTCCCTGGGAAACCCCACCCCTTATACTCTGCTCTGCTCTTTTTGATAGTACTGCCCACCTTCTAATAAACTATAACATTTTTAGAAGAAAAAAAAAGAATGAGATGCTGATACCATCTCAGCATGGACGGCCCTTGATAACAGCATGTTAAGTAAAAGGAACCAGACACAAAAGGCCACGTGTTGTTGATTTCAGTGGTCTGAAATGTCCAGAATAGGCGCGTGTAGAGGCAGAGAGCAGATGATGGTTGTGAGGGGCTGGGTGGAGAGGGATGGGGCGTGACTGCTAATGGGCAGCTGTTTCTTTCTGGGCGATGGGGTTTTCTGGAGTTAGATGGTGATAAGTGCTGCACAGCCGTGAGTGTGCAGAAAGCTGCTGAATCGCACACCTTTAAGAGAGTGAGTTTTATGGTATGTGAATTATATCTCAATTTAAAAAAACCCAACAAACAAAAAAAACAACCCTGCAGCTGAGGACAGCCTCTCCAGACCCCACCCCGCAGCCGGTGCCCGCAGGCCCCGTCGCAGCCCCATCTGTCGCAGGGCTCTCCCTCCGTCTGGAGCTGCCTGTTGACGTGATTTTCTCCTGCAGGACCTTCTCCTGGAGGCAGGAGCGGGAGGCACGGTCTGTGGGTTTCCTGCCATGCTTGTTAAAAAAAGCAGTGGGGGAAGGACTGAAACGGGGCTCTCGTGGGAGAAGCGGACAGCTGAGTGAGGGCCCGTCAGCCGCTTACGATAAATGCGGTCAGGATGAAGTAACGAAGTTCTCTGACAGCATTTTAACCACGTGCTATAGCACACACGAACTGGAAGAGATTCTTGAAATGGACTTAAATTTCCTAATTTGGCTTCTTAAAGAGGAGAGGGAAATAGAAGTGGGAAAGAGAAGGAACAGACGCAAAAGAAAAGAGAGAACAGGTGAAAGATTAAGCCGGATGAGAGGGGCACGAGGGAGCTTGGCCTCGCTGTCTCGGGAGAGAGGTCTGTAACTCCTCGAGACTGACGGGCGGGGTGGAGCTGCGAGATTGGGCGCTGCTCCAGGGCGAGTGCCCACCCGGGCCCCTGACCCACGTGGTGGTGACGGGCTGTCAGCTTCCTGCAGGGGACGGTGCCCTGTGCTCTTGGCCTCCTCACCGTCACTCCATCAGAGACGCACAGTGGAGCTTCCCGGGGGCTCCACAGCGTGTGGCACCACAGCAGACGGAGCGCAGAAGCAGAGGAGAGGGCCCAGCTCACTCGTGTCGGGCTGGACAGGAAGGAAATCTGTAAGAATGTGAAACAGTGCTACTCTTCTGGTGCATTGTTTCTGTTCTAGGAAGCGGTTATTTTTCCTAAAAATTTAACATGTGATGGGCTTATTATTATTTTAATAGGAATGAACACATACATTTTAATATCCTTTTCTACTTCCTTTTTTTTTTTTATTGGAGGGACTGGGGATTGACCCCAGGACCCCGTGCATGCTAAGCATGTGCTCTACCCCTGAGCTATATCCCTCTGCCCTAGTTTTATTTTCAAATACGGTAAGTGTCTGTAGATGTAACCCGCATGCACACACAGAAGCACTCTTTGTGATCCTCAGTGGTTTTTCAGAGTGTCAGGGAGTTCTAAGACCAAGAAGTTTGAGACCCGCAGAACTAATGAATACAGGTGAAAACTGTCGCGCAGCTTGTCAGGCGTGCGGCAGCCCAAGGTTCTCTGGGTGGAACTGCCAGTGAGAGGAGAGCAAAATGTGGCCGCCCTTGAGGAGGCAGGCCTGGTGAGGCAGATGCATCTAGGGTGAAGGGTGCGGAAAGGTATTCTGGTACTGCTTTGGGTGCTATGACTGTAAGTGTTTTCAGTCCAGGGCACTTTCTGCTACACCCCTCATCCCTCCGCACGGCCAGCGTCTGGCCCAGAGCCTGCCGCATAGTGTGCACTAGACTCTTGGTTAGATGACGGAGTAGATGGTCCATGTCATGTGTGTGCTTGCCCCTCAGTGGGACCCTGAGCATCATGAGTCTTCCGTGTTGCCAGCCTGGACACGGGCATACAGAGCAGAAAAGGTGGCACGTTCCTGTTTGTAGCAGAACCAGCGATCTGTGGGTTCGATCTTTGTTTGGGGGAGAAAATCGGCATTTGCATGTAAGCAGGCTGTCTGAATCGTTCTTAGTCACTGCGGTCCGAGCTGAGGATGGCCTCTAACTTTGTTCATTGTACTCTCATTTTAATGCCCAGCTGCCCTCGAGGGGCTGTGTTCGGCCTCTGTCATCTACCACTATCCTGCTGGGACTGGTGGCAAAGCTGGGGCTCGGAGGTTCCAGGGCAGCTCTCTTCCTGCCGAGGCAGCCAACAGACATCGCCCAGGTAAGCTCTGCCCGTGCCTCTGTCCTGGGCTTGTTTGCAGCCCTTAAGCAAGCAAGAGTAATTCATTACTGTCCCCGTGAGTTAAGCTCGGCTATTGCTGAAATAAAGAGTAAAATCCGTTGAGTCAGGAATCCTGCACACGAGACGTTTTATTCTGATTTTATTGAATATGTGTTGATCTTATTGAGTCTTACTGAATGATATTAATGGATTACAGTGATTGATTTCTGGAACAGGTGCATAACATTTCATGGCAGACTGACCTTGAAGTTCTGTGTCTGGGTCCTTTTCATAATTCCTGGGTATTTGGTGAAGTTAACCCCAGATGTCAATTTTACCAGCTAACTTAGGGCCTGGGGGCTGTTACTTATTTTTCTGGTTGACCTAGTTCTCTAACTGAGTGAAGTTGGATTTGGTTATGTTTGTTAGCACTTAACAGAGAGTAAAGAAAAAAAATCATCTTTGGAGAAGCAGACCTACAAATGATCACTGAATGACTTTACCCTTTTGGCCCCTAATGAATGAACTTGCCTTAAATGGTTCAGGACATAGCTGTCATATTGTCACAAAGTTAATAACAAAGGGTGCAGAGATCCAGGTGGGACACAGAACTGCGAGGTGTTTTTTGATCCATGAGATTTTTATAGACTTTTCCGTCCAAAGAGAAAGCCCACGGTAGTAGGTGTGTATTAGACGAGGAAATGCCTTAAATTTCCTTTTCCCCGATTTATACCAGCCCCCACCGTCAACAAATTGTGCAGAGACCACCTTCATGAACCGTCAGTGCAGCCACACGGTCTGAATCTGGGTGCGCTCTTTGTGGAAATGCTTAGATGAATCTGTGATGGCTCTTGAAGATATTTCTTCGTCAGACCATTCTAGTGGTTTATTGGGGCCTCGGTTATTGGAGAGGAGCGTGAAGCAGGCTGGGAAGTGATAGAGGAGATCAGGCCTAGAATGTCTCTGCCCCCGCTTCCCTGGGCTTGATTCTGGCCTGAGGCCCCTCCCGTCAGTGTTCCCCACCTGTGTTTACCCTTGCTGTCGACCCTGCTGTCTCTGGGAGGAGGGTCAGCTTTCTAAGTCCCGCGGTCCTCTGCTCCCTCTGGGAGTGCCTGCTGTTGGGGGCGGCTTTGTTTTGTTCTCACCCTGCAGTGTGAGGTCATCATGTGCTGAGACCGCTCTTCTCGGGTAAGTGGTGAGGCTCCGAGACTTTGCAGGGTCGTGTTTCTTTCTTCCCCTTGCCGAGTGTAGGCAAAAAAATTTAAGCCTGAAAAGGTGCTCCATCTGCAGAAATGCCTTTATTTAGTTTTGCATAGTGTAAAAAGCTTGAGACCTCTTTAATCGTGGAAGGCAGGCTGGGGGGGAGTTGGGGAACAGCCAGTGAAGCCCAGGTGGGACCTGAAAGAGCCGCGCTTCCCTCACCGAGACGGGGGACGGTTTCGCTCCGTTCAGGCAGTGAAGGGCCCAGACCCGTGGACGAGCTGACATCAGGAATGTACGTGTGTACCCGCTGCTTCGCCTTGGATATCAGTGTCAAGCCGGGCCAGTTTGTGGCGGCGGCCTCACCCTGCATCAGGAACTCACAGCGCCTCCTCTCTGAGGCGGAGGCCAGGCAGACCGGTTATTTCACACTCCCCCTTGGACTGGCACCTGAGCTTCCCGTCTCAGCAGCAGAGCGGCAGGAACACACGTGTCCTTTAGTGCCGCTGTGGCCTGAGTGGGCTGGTCTCTGTGCCCCAGTGGCCGTGTCTGTCGGTGGGGAAGGCGATAGCAGTGCTTCCCTGTCTCCAAGGGCTGGTGGGGGGGGGGTCAGATGCACACGAATGAGCGAGTTCAGTGACCTCGGCCCAGGGAGGCCTCAGGGGAAGAGATGCCAGGACAGGGCGGCCCCAGCCGGCGCTTGGTCCGTGCTCGCAGCTGTTAATGTTACCAGTATCACTACTGTGGGTTATCGAGTAGTTTTAAGACTTGGTAATACGAATTCATGAATGATGTTAAAAGACTAGACATTTCAGATCTGGTTTACATAGTTTTCAAGGTTTCCTCTGCAAAAAGGGTTTTGTTTTTTCTTTTTTAACAAAAACCCTACAGTTTATTTATCTTTTAGTTCTTCCAAAATTGAAAGTGTCAAGTCCTACTGCTAAGGAGAAACAAACAAACAAACAAACAAAATCTGAAACCCTTCCCCCCTCTTCTTTTAAAGTCACAGAACACAGAAGGAACCGCAGGGGGACAGGTGGGCACAGAGAACCAGGAGGGGGAGGATGGCAAGATTAACTCCCTAAACACATAAAAGGCTGTTCAACGTAAGTGTGATAAATGCAGGGCAACGTGAGACAAGTAAAGACCAGGCGCGGCTGGGATGAGAGGCTGTGCTGCAGCCGTGTCCCCCCCAACCCATGCTCCAGGCCCGGGCGTGCCTTGCGCCTTCCAGGGCTAAACGCTGACTCCTTGGAGCCGCCGAGATTTCACTAGAAACAGTAATGAGGCACCACCATTCTTCCTTAGACATATCAGAAAAGAAATAGTGGTAATTTTGCTCCTACCAGTGAACCGTGTGTGAATTTGTGAGGAAGATGAAACTGAACCAGGGAGTATCACTGCTTCTTGTCTTCCATGAGGCAAGAGAGCAGGAGAAGTCAGGCGAAGGCAGCAGTGCGCGCAGCCTCACCAGCTCAGGTTGCACCGTTTATCACACCATTAGCAAATTCCAAGAACCTGAGAAAAGGGGTTTTTCCACCCCCTGTTAAATCTGAGTTTAGTCTCCAAAAGAATCCGGTAGTCCCTCCCTCTTTCTGCTTGAATTCTCCCCTTGTTTAAATAATGGTTTTTTCAGGTGGATGTGCTGGAGACTGAACTGAGGACCTCTCGCTTGCTAATAAGCACGTGCTTGCCTGACTGAGCTATCCTCTTCTCCTTTGAATTATTTTTAACTTTACTTCCTTAGTTTCAGAGGTTAGAGGCCTCTAATTCTTTTTCTGGAGACTTGTCCATGAACCTGTAAGTCTATAATTAATGGACAAAACTTGGTTTATTAAAAAATCAATAGAACATTCTGCAATCCATCCAAAAGGAAAGGCTCATTGACTTATAAATGTTTCTCCTTTATGATGATTTCTACTTTTTGCTCGAGCTTAACTTATTAACAGTCATCATCATCGTCATAATGACCAAAATAGCTCTGAGCGAGTGGGCTCCTCGCAAAGCCTAAATGCCTTCCTTGTGTTTTACCTCGTGGCAGGTGTTTGAGGGTAGGTATCAGTGTCTCCTTTTTGCAGGTGAGGGATTGAGAGATGGGGCCGCTTGTCCCACATCACACGCAGCTGGCCTGGAGCCCAGGCCACACAGTGTGCATTCTTAATCGCTCCTCTTACCAGCCTCCCACTGAGTGGTTTCCCAACTCCTGTGAGTCCATAAATGACCGATTTTAGTGATCTCAGCCTGATGAGGCTTTAAAGGAAGAAATACTAGTGAGAGTATGAGACAGAGTGGCATAGATTAAAATTGTACATTTTCACAATGTTTTATTCTCAGCTAATGATCTAAAAAGTTAATATTTTTTATCTTAGTGCTCTGCAAGCACTAAAAACAAAACATTAGAAATGATGCCAGTGCAGAAGAGAAGTGGGCTTTGAAAGTCCAACCATTGCTAGTGACTTATTGCTCGTTTTTCTCCAGTGATGCTTGTTGAGAGAAAAAGTTATAAAGACTAAATTGGTTTTATGTCGTCTTTAGTACGGAAGAAAAGATTGTCAGCAAATATTGAGAGAAAGTAAAATCTTCACTCTTTTCTTTCCTGATGATAAATATGTAAGTTGTTTTTCATGGCTTAAGTACATTTCCTCACTTGTGAAATTTGACTAATGTTATTTACCTCGTCTGACTGTGAGAGTTAGATGACTGTACACAGAGCACCCAGAGGTGCTCAATAAAAGTCCGCTGTCACAGTGACAGACAGTTTAGAAGGATCGGCTCTGAATACTGACGAGGGTGGCTTATTTCTGATTCATATTCATTGTGTATATGTGATATATATGAATGTGACTTAAAGTAACAAGGATTCAGTGGCTTTTTTTAGTGCAGTGTGTTTTGATGAAATCAGTGCCATTCTAGTAAGTAGGACTAGTTAAATTGCCTTAAGCAGACAACCTTGAAGATTATTTATACAGAATGTATTCTTACAAGTCAGGATTCATATTGCCATGTAACCATCCGCTAGAACCTTTAAATTCGTAGGAATCTGACCACAACTATTAAGTTTAGAAAAGTCAACATTGATTATTTTCATGATTGAAGAAAATTTTGATTTTTCTTCTGTACCCCTGAATAGGTTTTAAACAATCAAAACATTTATTTGACATCTGTCACTTTTCTTAATAGAGGGAGTAAAAGGAGAGTTCATGTTGTTTTCATATGTAAATAAATGCGTTTGTATTTCAACAAAATTGTGTGACTTCCTGGCTCTTGGGGAACTATTTTGCAAGACACTTAGATTACCTACCGTTGGAAGAATACAGACGTGACTTTTATGAATATAGGGCTAATACCGATCTGTTAGTTTTTGATACAGTGCAAGACACGAGGACTAGGAGAGCTTTGCTGCTGACTGCCAGGACAGGTCCCGGGTCTCAGTCTCCGTTTTCTGTAAAAGGAAGAGGCTGGCCTGGATTTCTTACTCTTAGATGAATTTCCATGAGCCTTTCTTTTGTTTATACTCAGGAGTATTAACAATTTCAGATTAAATACTGAATACCACTCCCTTCCCTGAAGCAGAATTCAGTATGTGCTAGATAAGCTTTTAGTTATGGACTCTGAGCATCCTGTTTTTAAAAACCTTACATACATGCAATTTTTGTGTTGCGTGTTTCCCAGCAACCCGGAAGGCCTTTCTGGCCATAGGTGGCGCTGTTGCACCTTTTTACGGTCAATTTTCCTGTTTGTAAAAGAAGGCTTAAACAACGTTCCTTTAATTTGATTTCTTTGTTTAATGCTTCAGGATAGCACAATGTCCATTAAGTCTGGCTACCTGGAAAATTTATTCTAGTTGTATCTTATTTTTATTCTGTCATCTCACTGTGAAAATTTCAGACTTGCTGTGCAAACAGTGGCAAAATTGGACTTTTCTTCCAGTATTAGAAACCAGTGAGCCATGCTTTTATAAAGCAGATAGAAGCAGTCTCTGGAGCACCTTCAAGCTGAAAAATGCGTTGAGCTCCCTGAGTACTGAACCCGCTGCTGTGTGTTAATTAGCTGCAGGTGATTTGGTATATGGAGGAAGGGGCGTAGCTTTTTGACTTGGGTTTGCGTGCACGCGCTGCCACTGAGCCACGTGAACCTGAGTCAGTTCGTTCTGAGTTTTCCCCTAGTCTGTGAGATGGGGACCCTCATACCTGCTTTGTAGAATTGTGAGAATTAGAAATCATGTGAAGTGTTTTAGCACAGTGGGTATCTCAAAAGGTCTCATAAACTTCAGCTACTGTTTTGTACGAAGCCGTCATTTTACAGTCTTTGGCAATTACTGAGAAATTAAAATAGGAAAAGCTGGTTTTATGACGAAAGATAGTATTCGAGGAAGGTCAGTAGTTCCTATACTCGTTATTTAGCCTCAGCTGAGTTAGGACCGTTACAGTCACCCTGAGCCAACCAAAAGCCACAGAATTTGTGTATGTTGGGGCTTAAGGGGACCCAATAATTACACACTTGTTTGCTCCGCCAGCCAACTGAGAGATGACGCAAAAGAGCAGGCGGGCGATAAATGTTTCCTTTGTTTCTGAGGAAGCCACGTTCTCCATGAACTTCAGGGCTTCGGAAAAATGGGTGTCCTGATACTGTGTCCCAGAACCAGAGACTCACCCAGTCCTGGCAGCTCTGGGCCACGGCGGGCCTTCCCTTGAGAGGATCTGCTCCATCATGCACAGGGCTGTCTTGTCATTGAGCTGAGCATCCTGGGTGCTTCCTGGGGTGGCCAGCACCCAAGGGAAAAGAAGGGTTGGTCTCCCCAACCCCTGGACTCACACCTCCCTCCATTAGTGTGAGGAGGACTGGCCGTGGGCCAGGGGCCAGGGGCCAGGGGTGTGGAGGGAGAAGCGCCCCCAAGGACTGGAGGAGTGGGGAGGAGGTGCCCCCTCCCTCAGTTTAAACAGGTGGTGGGGTGGGACAGAAGGGTGCTCCCCAAGAGTTTATAGAAGGGGAAATAAGGATAGCCTTTGGGACTTAGACTAGCCATGAAACACAGAAGATGAGTAGAAGGGAGATTTGTGAATAACTTTAATAGGTGGCATTTGTTGAGCACTGAAAATGTGCTACATTCCTTTCTGAGCATTTTACAGAAACGAATCCTTCAATTTTCACAACAACCAAGAAGGAAGGTTGATTGTTACCCCAATTTTCCAGGTGTGGAAATTAAGGCACAAGAGGGTAAGTCAGTTGGCCAAGTCCCAGAGCTCGTAAGTGGCAGAGCTGGGACTTAAACCCTGGCTGTCCGGCTTCCAGGCTCCCAGGGACAGGCTCTGGCTGTTGAGAGGTATCTGCGTGCCTGTGGATCTCAGTACATCTGTACATCAGTCAGCCCAGAGAGGACGGGAGGGGAGAGTTAAACAGGTGCTCAGCCACTGTCCACGGAGAGCGCACCGTGATTAGTGTTACTGTTTTCTGGGCAGCAGGTCTGTTCTTGTAACAGAAATTTAGTCCATCGAGTTAATCTAGAAACAAACCCCTCTTGCTCTGCTTCTGTCCACGCTTGCCATGTGACCTCCTGCCTATGACTGTGCCGTTGGGGAGAAAATGTACTGACTGTTGAACTCCGATATTTTAGTCTGGTTCATAGTTTCATGTCTCCTGTTACATTAATAAGTTAAACCTCTGGTTTTCTTGCATCAGTCTCTTATGAGCTTGGTTAATGCAAAATCAGTCCATTGGAGCCCAGTGATGCTAACAGTATAATTTCTGAGCACACTGAGGCACTTCTACCCGTGGAGACCTGGCTGGAGGGTGCCCCTCTTTCTCACAGTGATTTCCTCCAACAGCACCGGTTATTCTCCCCCCAGCCCTCTGCACATGAGGCTTTCTGAGTAGGCCAGAGCCAAGTCTACCAATCAGAAAGCTATGAAGTGCCTGGAAGTGGGTTCAATAGAAGAAAAGGGCTTCCAGGGAGTCCGATGAGATGTTCAAGTCCATTTGGTAACAAGCTGTCCATTGTCTGTGGTTGAGCTTGTCCTTCGCTGTTTTGGAAAGACTGGACTGGATGAAGGGAGTTGAAAGGCACAGAGGGGTTGTTTCGGGTGGTGCCTCCACATCGGTGAGAAGTGGTGGTTGACCGCCTGTATGAGGCATAGACCGATTTTCACAGACTTTATAGAACAGCTTTAGAAGCTCAGCTGTCTGAGTGCACTTAACATGGGGTCCGGTTCATCACCGGACGTGCTGAGAGGTCAAATAATTGATGATTGTGAAAGTGATGTGGAGACATCAAAAAAGTCTCAATCATATCCCCTATTTAAAGGACATGGCACAGTGTAATATATTTGGCCTGTTTTTTTCACTGAACAGACAGTGTTTAGTGTTTTCTGGGAATCCCCAGTCCCCCGAGGTTCCATGCAGCTGGATGTCCCCTCAGTGCAGCTCTGTTGGCGCTTGTCCTGGGCGTGGTGTCTCGGGGAGCAGGACTGTCAGCAAGCTCCGTCTCCTCGCCCGCAGTGCAGGGTTTCTCATCCCCGGCTGCTCTGTAGCGCCGAGAACCACACGTGGTGGTTGTCAAGCACTGTGTTTGACATACAGTCAGTATTCGGTGGAAAGCACCTGTTTTTTTTATTATAACCGTGGCTTCTAGATTGTGATGGGTTTCAGGCTGCATTTATTTTTTATAACTTTATTGTTATTTTTCATAAAAACTTGTTTTTACTTGTATTTATTTATGTTTATAGCGGTGCTGGAGATTGAAGCCAGGGCCTTGTGCGCTAAGCACCTGTGTTACTACTGAGTGATACCCTCCCCCGTGTCTGCATTTGAAAGTAGAGATTGCAATGCACAAGGCAGCTCTTAGATACCATCATGGGACCTGTCCTCTGTGTAGGCAGCTAAATACATACGCTAGTGCTGTAAGACTAAATGTTGTTGGGACATACCTTTTTGAATCTTGTTAACACATTTTAAAAACGATCATAGCTAGTGATATTCGTGAGTTTTGGATCCAGTACCACTTGGGGTGTGTTTTGCCATCATGGGAAATTACATTCTACAGAGAAGGCTAATTGGGTCTCATTGATATTTGGATGGTTTAGCAGATAGATGATCAAGGCTTTCAAAAGCTTCCTGATAATAATGAAGTTGACTGTTTCATATTTTAAACTAACTACAAAGTTACCTTCTAAAAGATGGAACTTCTAGACTGTGACATGTTCAGCAACTCAGTGTGTATGTGTGTGATTTCAGGAAGGTAGGAATAAGTTCCGTGCAGCCTTCCGATACTTTTCTCCTCCAGTCCAAGGTGTGGGCATATATTTACACAAATAATTTGATATTCTTTTGTCATTGGCGTATTGGTGGGAATAAGAGGTTCTCATGCTTGTTCAAGGGTTGGGAAGAATGAGCTTAGAAAGTGGGAGGGGAAAGAGGCAGGTAGGCACTTTACGCTTTGTGCAGGCTATGAGAAATAGTAGCTTTTCTTTCTCTTCCTTCTAAAGCAAAAAGGCACTGAATTATAACATACTGTTACTCAGCATTGCTTTTCTGATCAGATACACGTGTCTCACATTTTTCAAGGCAATGGGAGTGATGAAATGTGTTTTAGCAGTTATCTTTAAAAGAAGTTTTGTTTTTCAAATAAAAGACCGTGATCTGTTCTTTCTTCCAGGGGCGCAAGAAGTTCTCATTGATCCAGGTACATGATCTATGTGCTTAGTTTCTTTGGCTTATTTTTAAGTGCTTGTTTCATGGTGGTGTGAATGAATGGTTAAAATTTCTGGATTATGATCTTTGGAACATGCTGATTTAAGTAACTTTAAATCAGAACTGTTAAAAGCCTGAGTGTTGTTTGGTCCTTGTTTGATGGGGGCACCCTTTTGATTTATGTTGTCTGTCGGAGAAGAAAATTCTTCCCCCAGCATGGCTAAGTGAATGGTTTGCAGTGTGCCTTTAAAATCCTCTGAATGCATCGAGCATGCTTGTCCAGTGAATTGTGAACTGACTCATAGTAATGACTTTGCTCTGATTCTGTGGCTTGTGCTTCTCTCCACGTGAATTTGAATTCTCTGTTGCATTTCGTGTCTGTGCTCTTAATGGGGGAAGAAATTTTGCATTTTTTACAGAGGTGGGTTTTCCTTTCCACTCTGAATGCCTTCTGTAATTAATACAGCAGAAATCTCTCATTGAGGTGCTTAATTATTTCATAATGAGCTGGATTATTTTTTTGGCTTAATTGGAAACAGTGACAAAGAGTGATAATAAAAAATATGAAAACCTTCCTTCCTTTGAAGAATAGAAATCAGATGGGCACTTGCTTTGTGACCAACACACTTACTTTCATGTCATTGTGTATCATGATTCTGAAGTGGAGTTGCTTCAGGTTTGTAGATTTTTGCTTTAACATTTGTGTTGAATTCTTCCTCTAGGCTGATGTTTCCTGTTGGGTGTGTGGAAACTGTAGAGGAAGGGAAACAAATGCTTTGTTTTGTTTTCAGGAGACTTCAGTTGCTGATGAGAAAACGGTTGAGGTGGGTGAGGAACAGAGTGGCACTCCCTCACCTCCCGGCTGAAATTGATGAACAATGAAATCAATTAGATGTATTGGTATTTGACCAATAGAAGTTAGCGAGCCCAAACTGGCTAGTTATGCCCAGTGGAAAGTACTGAATTCACCTGCAGGAGAATTAGGTGCTTCACCAAGCAGAAGTAGCTTAGAGCGATCAGAAAAACCAGTCATTATGATGAGACATAAAAAGAATATAATATCTTTTATTTCTGAAGCTTTTCAAAGTAAGGTTGTGTAGCGCTGAAATTGAATTTCGAGTGCCAGGAGTAAGAGTGTGGGTGGTTTTGTGGGGTTGTCACTCAGGGATGTGTCAAGACCCTGCTGGAGAGGTTGAAGCTGGCAGGAAAGGACACAGAGCCAGGGCTCGGCATCCCAGGGCATCTTCCGTGATGCTTCCCGGTGAGAAGGATGCGGGCTTGATCTCTCCTACCCTAGGGAGAGCGAGGAGGGAATTGAGATTCTGCTCCCTCTGTGCTCCGCTGCTGCCCTCCAGGGCCACTCCAGTTCGCCTGCAGCCTTCTGGCCTCTGCTCATAAGGCCTTTGTCCCAGGACCAACCGCAGCCTTTTCTTCCCTTGCCAACATCTCCTGTGTCTTTCAGACGTCGGTCTCTTCTCTGTGCTCCAGCCCTGGCAGATGTGATGGTGGTCAGCGTGCTGGTGGGCAGTCACTTGGGGACTCCCAGGAGCCTTGCTGATTCTCCTTAGTCTCTGCATCTGAGCAGCTCACGTTCGGGGTTGCAGAACTGTTCAGCTCCGGAGGAAGCCCGTTCATGTGAGGCAGCACAGCATCACATCACTTTCATTTTATTTTTGAATTTTCAGTGGAGAGATTATTTGAAGCAAACTGCTTCGGGTTTTCTGCTGCGTGCTTTCCTCACCACCGTCTCGTTGTTGTCTCCGGCTCTTGTTTTAAGAACCAGGCTTCTCTAGTCATTTCTAGCAGCTGCCTTGATCTGCAGTTGAAGCAGAATGCTTCTTCGTGGTGTCAAACTGGTTTTCCTCGTCATTTCTGAATATGTACGTTCAGTAACTGTTTCAGGTGAAATGATCTTTTGTCCAATGTCAGTTAACTCGGATTTGCTGATTTCCTATTTTCTTGTTGAGGGCAGTTTCTTCTTCCTATAATATAAGTTAGCAATTTGCAGTTACTGTGGGGAGGCACTGGTCCAAGGCCTTTTTTCCCCCCTTAACATTTGTAATACAATTCATGCATTATAGTCTGCAGTGGTTTGTACTCTATGTCCAGAGCTGTGCATCACAGTCGACCTGAGAGCTTCTTCATCCCCCAACAGGAAGCCCCGTACCCATTAGCAGTCACTACCCATCTCCCCCCTCCTCTCCCAGCCCCAGGCAACCGATTTTCTCTCTCTAGGGCTTTGCCTGTTCTGTACGTTTCCTGTAAATCGAGTCATTTCATCTAAACGGAATCGTCTTTTGTGACTGACTTCTTTCACACTGCGTAAGGTTTTTAAGGTTTGTCCACGTTGTTGTAGCCTGGATCAGGACTTCATGTTTTGCTATTACTGGATAATATTCCACTGTATGGATGGGCCACTTTTGTTTACCCATTCATCAGGTGACGGTCATTTGGGTTGTTTCTTCTCCTTCGCTGTGATGGGTAATGGCGCCGTGAACATTCCTGTAGAAGTTTTTACGTGGACATATGTTCTCAGTTCTCTTCCATATGTGCCTAGGAAGCGGAAGTTTTGGGTTATACAGAAACTAAATGTTTAACTCTTTGAAGACCTGCCAGGTTGTTTTCCAAAGTGGTTGCACTGTTCTACATTCTCACCAGCAAGGTCTCAGGGCTCCACTTTCTCTGTATCCTCATCAGTACCTGTCGCTGTCTTTTTGATTGTAGCTATTCTAGCGAGCGTGAAGTGGTTTCTCCTCGTGGTTTTGATTTGATTTCCCTTACAACTAATGATACTGAGCATCTTTTCCTTGTGCTTATTGGCCATTTGTATATTTTCCTTGAAAAATAATCTTTTCAGATCCTTTATTCATTTTTTAATTGAGTTATTTGTCTTTTTATCATTGAGTTGTAAGAGTTCTTTTTATCTTGAGGATACAAATCCCTTATCAGATGCATGACTTGCAAAAGTTTTCCCCTGTGTGTTGTTTTTTTCACTTTCTTGATGGTGTTCTTTGAAGCGCAGGAGTTTTGGATTTTGACAAAGTCCAGTTTATCTGTGTTTTCTTTGTTGCCTATGCTTTTCAGGTCATGTCTAAGATCTGAGGTATTTTATATAAACTTTATATATAAAATAACTTAATTCTTAGGGCCGTTCTGGGAGATAGGTGCTGTTGTCCCCGGTCTATTTATGAGGAAACTGAGATGCAGAGAAGTTCTTTGACTTAATCAGGGTCACAGCTACTTAGGGGTGTGGCGGGAGTTCAGACCCGCGTGTTTGTCTCCGGCATCTCTGTCCCTTCCTAGGAATCGTTAATGAAAAAGTCTTTACTTCTTTGGTTTCTTATTAATTTTTTTCTCACTGGGGACTTCATCTTTTCATTCTCCTTGCAAAGCTCAGCTTAGGCTGATTTTAGGTCTAATGTAGGCAGAAGCATTGCTATCAGTTAATTTCTTTATTACTCACCCCCAGTGATGATTGTTGCTAATTGACCTAATAAAGTCATACTTCAGTTTTTCCTGGTCAAGACACTTAAAGTAGAGTCATGACTTACAGAATGCTCAAAGAAGAAAGTATTTAATTGATTTTATTTTGCTAACCAATGAAATAAAAACCCCAGAGTTGACAGAGATTATAAGCCTTCCAGAATAGGGTCATTGTCTTACGTTTCATTTTGTTTGGTCACAGTGTCTGGATAGTGCCTTGTTGTCCAGCAGTTTAGTTAGAATATGGTGCCCGTGAATCATTGTAATGACAGTTTTGACAACAGACTGTGTTGTTCATCTCACAAGGAGAAAGAGAATATAGAATTACTGCTATTTTAAAATTAAGCTTGGAATTTTGAGAAGAGTTCCACAAACCGTATCATACAAAGGTATTTTCACTAACTTTAGATCTAACTTAGACACGTTATGGTTACATGGCAGAGTAAATTTATTAACTAGATTTGACAGAGTGTAATATTGATTATTTGTTGTTAAAATATTCTTCCTTGAATAAAGTGATTAGTGTCCAGGAGTGAACAAAAATGTTTGTATTTATGTGCAACATGGGAGCAGACTTCATATATTTATATATATGTGTGTGTGTATTTTGATCTGTTTTTCAGAGTTTTTGTAGTTTTCCAGCAGTGTTCTAACTTTAGAATTCTTCTAAAAAACATCACTGTGTCTAGTGCAGTTTGTACTGTGTATCCTGTCTTATGCATGGAATTCCACTGTCTCCTCGGTGAAGAATTTCCTCTCATACTGAGCTAGTAGCAGAGTTACAGGAACTGTGATTTCTAGGCCTTTGCTCTCCATGTGTTTGAAGTTGGCTATCATATATGATTTTCCCTTTCTTTCTTGGGTTTTCATTGTTTAGTTAGAATCTTTGAAAATGACTGTGTTAGTATGTTGCACAAATTTCCCTAGAAACTTGATGTGTTTGTGCCTTTAAGGTTTCAGTTTATGGAAAACGTAAACGCACTCTTGTTTTTAAGAAGTCCCTTTTCACTAGGTATTTATTTACCTCTTTATGGTTAAAAAATTTTTTTCCAGTGAATGAATAGGTTTGCATGTTTTAAAAAATAACTTGCTTTTATTTTCCTTGTTGTAAAAGTTATATTCATCGTAGAAAATTTAGAAAATAAAGATAAGCACAAAAAATAAATTAAAAAATTACCTGTAACTCTTCACCTAGAGATAAAGGTGTAGTAAGTTTTGAAGTTGAGAACTATAAGTCTTCTCACTTTGTTCTTCTTTTTCAAGATTGTTTTGGTTATTCTGAGACCCTCGAATTTCCGTATGAATTGTATCAGCTAGTCAATTTCTGCAAAGAATCCAGCTGGGATTTGATAGAGATTACATTGAACATATGGGTCACTTTGGGGGGTATTGCCATCCCAAGAGTATTGACTTCTGATCCATGAACATGGGATGTCTTTCCAGTTATTAGGTCGTCTTTAATTTTTTCCAGCCATGTTTGGAGTTTTCAGAGTACTGTTTTGTTTGTTTGTTTGCCTTTACACTGAGGACAGGCATACAAGGTACTGCGATCAGGAGTTACTTGTAGTTGTTCTTTAATCCTCCCTGTCAGCATAATTATGTTATTTATTTGAAATCTATTTAAGCTCATTTGTTTTGTTTGTCTGCCATTATCCGTCAGTCCTTATTAATCATGAACATGGTTCCACAAGTCAAAACTGTACAACAAGTTATCCCCTGAGAAGTGTCACTTCCTCCTTTATCCCTCCCACCCTCTTCCCACCTACCTGTCGGTGGCGAATCTCATTTGCTCCTGGTTTTTCTCTCTGGTGTTTTTCGTTAAACAGATGTTCCTGTTTCTATTTCTTGTGTAAAAGGTAGCATATTACATGTATCTTTTGTACTTGGCTTTTTTTTGTTTTGTTTTTTATTTTACTTTATTATGTTTGTATTTACCAACATGTCCCAGAAATCAGTTCATATCAGAGATCATCCTCATTCATTTTCATTGTGTGTACATGTCTCATGTTTTACTTAACCAGTCTTTTTTCCTGGACAATTTGGTTGTTTCCAATACTCGGTAATTACAAATGACGCTGCAGTGAATAACCTCGTACATGTGTGTTTTTGTGTTGTTGGAGTTGTGTCTTTAGCATAAATTCCTAGAAGTGGAATTACTGGGTCAAAAGGTAAACATATATGTACTGTTACTAGGTCTTGCCAAGCTCCTCTGCATAAAGGTCACCCCATTTTGCACTTGCAGTGGCTGTACTCGGGAGCACTTTCTGCGGTTCACCAACAGAACCTGTTGTCAAGATTTTGCATTTTGCCAACTAGATACGTGAGAAATGGCATCTCTTACTATTAGTGAAGTTGAATCATTTTTTTAAATGCTTGAGGGCCATTTTTATATTTCTCTTTTATGAATTATCTGCCCATATCTTTTGCTCATTTTGTTCTGTTGGATTTTTTTTCTCTCAATTTTTATGATCTCTTTATGTATCAGGGATATCAGCCGTTTGTGGTACATGTTGAAAACATTTTCCTGTGATTGTTGTTTATGTTTGGCTTTGCTTATGGTAGTTTTCCTGTATTTTTATGTAATTGGATTGATCAATTTTTAAACATTGCCTTTGGATTTGAATCACATTTAGAGAGCCTTTACCTGTAACCAGGTTTTAGAAGAATTCACCCATGTTTTTTGAACTTCTGTTATGGTTTTCTGTTTTACATTTAGATCCTAGATCACCTGGAGTTTGTTCTCGGGTTTGCTGTGAGGTAGGGGTGCAGTTTTATCTTTCTCCCAAAGGCCATCTCAGTACTGTTTCCTAAGAAGCCCACCTTTGCCCCAGGCAATTCTGGTGCTGGAGGCGTGTATCTTACTCTTGCTTAACATCGGACTTCCTGGTGGCACTGTCTTCCTGCTGTTCCCTGCGGGAGGGGGCTGGTAGGACCCGCATGGCAGGGCTTTTGCTCTTCAGCAGAGGGCAGATGTCCGTGATCTCGTGCAGCACCAGCCTGTCAGCTGTTCCTGGGAGCTTTGCCACCTGGCGCTGCTGTTCTAAGCCCTTGTTGTGTGTGGTTCTTCTCTCTTTACGGTTGATTTTGCCTTTCTCTCGCCTGCTTCATTTGTCTCTGCTTTACTCCCTCTTGTTTCTACTTTGTTTTACTCTTTGTCTGTTGACTTCCCGTCCTGGGCCCTCTGTACGATCTTGCACCTTATAGGAACTCAGTAACTCTCCTGAATGAATGATTGAACGATTGTTGGATTGGAACTTGAGAGCCCTTGTGATGCTGCCTTTTTTCCACCCTTTCCCCACTTCTTCTTAACTATGCCCTTTCTCTTCCTTTCCTTCAGCCTGGGTTTCAGCCGGCCTGTGGCATTGACTTTTCCTGTCTGTAGACTCCTTGTTTCACTGGTTCACAATAATGTAACGTGCAGGCTGTCGAAACTTGACATCATGAAAGATCAAATCCATCGCATACTAGTATTTTTAGAGTGTGTTATTCTTTTATTGAGTGAAGTTAAGTCAGTCTGCCCCCCGAGCTCTCCCGTGAGCACTTCTCACCTTCCTGCCGAGGATACTGCCCTGGTTGCTGCATGTGCCTCCCCCGCCCCCAGCCTCGGGATTGGAGTTGAGCAAACCATCATCAGTGGTGCCCTTTCTTTAAAGGGTGGGGGGACATTTGCTCCTTCTCTCTGGTTGGGGACATCTTGGATGAGACGAGGCACTAGATAAAGAGTGAAGACCCACCTCATTCTGCCCCCCACCCCACTCTTTCCCTTCCTTTCTCCAAGGGAAAAGAGTAAAACTCAACAATGTAAAGATTAATCATTAGAGATAATGAGGTAAGTCAAGATGACCTATCACGTTTTAAGTATTATTTCATGCCGGAAAACAGATGTCTTACACACACAAAAAGCACACAAAGCACAGCAGCGTCGTGTTGAGAACGTAGGTCCGAGTTCGAGTCCCGCTCTGGAGGAGCTTGTTCTGTGGTCTGGAGAACTGGTAGGTCTGCTTAGCCTCTCTCGGACTTGTTTTCTCTCCTGCAGAGATGGGGCTCGCTAGGCGTCCCACACGTGTAGAGTTGCTGTGGGGTGTAAATGAGGATGCACGTGGACCTCCCTAGCGCAGGTTCTCATTCCTCGTAAGTGCAGCACAGCTTTTGCTGTGATGGCATTGTGACCACCCGTGTGGACTCTCAGTGCTCCAAAGGGATGCCCTGTGGTTTGGAGATGGGGTTCTCAGTTCTGTAAGGACCCGAGGATTGTCATTAGGCCTTGCTGATTTGAATATATTCTTTAGAAAGTATATATCGTAGATATTTTCTTTCAAGCATGCATCTCCTTTTCTTTTATTATTTATAGTTCTACCCTCTCGTCTCTTGCTGTGATTTTTCACAGAATCTAGGAAACAGTCCTAAGCCACCTGCCTCTTCACAGTTCTCTGTGGTGGTTTTCTTGCCTGACTAGAAGAAGGTTTTGCACAGGAAATTTTCTTTGTTCCCCTTTACTTGGAGTCTCTCTGTCCGTCTGCCCATCTTTCACCTGTCCGTCTGTCCATTTATCTACCCACTCATTCTTCTGTCTTGCTCCAAAAAGTGTTTGTGGCAGCTTACAGAATAACAGATATCAAATAAGCAGGTGAGAAAGTGGGGCCAAGTTCAGACAGCGAGGCTAGGAGGCGAGCTTGCAGGAGCGTTGCAGGCGTGAGACACACACCTCTGCCCTGTGAGTTAGAAGATCAACAGCAAACGTGTGCCTGAGGCTCCCAGCAGACACAGGGAAGCGGGGTTTGTGGGAGATGCTCACTGTCCGTGAAATAAACAAGTGGCTTAGGAGAAGCCCAGCCTTTCCAGCTACTAAGGCTTAGGAGAGTAACATGCGAGTGTCTTCCGAAATCAAAAAGTGTTTCATCTTTTGTTTTGTCAGAGTTCTACGTGTAGTTGGTCACATTCTATACCTGGAAATTTCTCCAAAGGCCTCCCCACGTGAGCTGGATGGCTAGGGAATGAGGTGGTTCTGCTTATTGACGGGGTTGGCCAGAAGTAGAAAATGGCAGCCTCGCAAAGGAGACTAACATTTGTCAGTTATATTTTTTTTAGCGCCGTAGAGTTCAGAAAATCCTTTTGCACAGTTTCCCTCTGTCTGAGGCGGCAGCGTGCTCTCTTACCAGCATTAAGAGCTTAGAGCTGGGGGATGGTGCAGGCTGACTGCACTGTCAAGACAGCCGAGCCAGTCACTGCAGGCGTGGTGCTTTTATATAGTGCATTTCGTGTTCTTTAATGAAAAGTTTCAACAGAGGAAAAAACGTATTCTAAGTTAATTAACCTTTAATACAATGCTTTGTTGATAAGACTATTATAGGGAGACCATAAGCTGTGAAGACTTCAAAAACGGTTTCATTATTGAAATTTCAGTAGAGAAGATTCACATTTTGTCTTATTTGTGCCCCTCTTTTAAAGTAACAAAGAAACAAGACGGAAAAGGCAAAAGATTATTTCTGTTCTTCCTCTCGGTTTGCAGGTGCCCTCACCACCAATGGCATCAATCCAGACACCAGCACTGAAATTGGACGTGCTAAGAACTGCCTCAGCCCTGAAGACATAATTGACAAGTATAAGGAGGCCATTTCCTATTACAGCAAGGTGACTTTACTCTGTGGGTCCTTGTGTAGTTGTGTTGTTTTAATCAGGAGTGCCCGTGTTACATCAGGTGACGGTGCTGCGGTGTCTGCTAGTTATCTGCTTCTGTAAGGATTCATGTGTTGTTCTCCAATGTGTGATTTTGTATGCGTAAAATGGCTTTTTTTCTGATTGAAAATAATGGGTATTTAATAAGTTTGAAAGAAGGGGCAAAAGAGGCTATCAGAGCCCTGCTACTCAGAGATGATAATTAACATTTTAATACCTATTTTCTGTTCTTTTTTGTCAGTGTGTGTTATCTATATCATAAAAAACAGGGAGCGATCTGGACTTACTGTGTGGGGAAATCCATTTTTCATTTGGCGTATTACGTGTTTTCCTATGATCTTAAATCTTCCCTGGCATGACTTTTGATGCCCAGTATAGCATTCTGTCTTGTGGAGGCATCGTTCTTTTTACTTTGGACTTAAACATTTTTTAATTCCAAATATACTTAACTGAAATACTGAAAACAAGAACTGAGGTTGTACAGGAGAGTAGTATCAAGTAAAAAATGAAAGGCCCCTACCTCCTCTCCCCTTATTTCCTAAGAGCGAAAGCTGTTAACAGTTTGGTGTATGTGTTTCATGACCTTCATGCCTGTGAAATACATGTATATATGAGAAATACATGTATGTGTGTGTGTGTATGTGTTTTATTTGGAGAACGAGACCATACTACATGCTTTTCTGCAGCTCGCTTTGCTCACTCAGTGTGCATCATGGATGTCCTCCCCTGCAGACCCGGCCCTTTCAGATAGAGCGCAGGGGTCTCCTGATGTGCGGATGTGGTCGCTTGTCCACCGACACCTTTGGTGGGGGAGTGCCGTGGACAAGACCTAGACCACGTGGAAACACCGGCTCCCTCGGAGCCCGCAGCTTGCCGTGACTTACTGTGTCTTTGCCTTGTCGGTGGGCAGTTAGGTTTTCTCCCGTTTCCACTGTCAGAAAAGATGTTTGAACATCCTTGTACACATGTTCCTGTGATCTTGTGTTGGCTTTGTAAATATTCATTTTGTAACTAGTCATTTAAAAGTTGTAAGTATGAAGTACTTTTTCCAGAGCCCTTTCTTTTCTACTTTTAAAAATTTGTTTCTAGGATTATCAAAATGATCATAGCTAATTTGTATAGATGGAGAGACAGATGGAGAAAGGGACTGCAGATACGTACTCTGAGCAGTTTCGTGGCTGCTTTTGGACCAGAGAAGCCCCGAAAGAGCCCAGGTTGGACCAGGGGTGGCTTTGAATGCACTTGAAAGCCAGCTCTCGTGCCTTTACGGGGAAGCCTGGTGGGCGTGGCAGGTAGGTGCCACTTCACTGGCCCAGGCCAAGCCAGGTCAGTGGCTGCACAGAGCACTGTGTCGGTGAGAACTGGAGGCTTCATTGCCCCAGGAAATGCTTGATGCCACGAGCATATCAGGGGAGCCGGGGAGCCTGTGTGTTAAGAGTTTTCCAGTCCTGGGAGTGGGAAGAGCAGACACTGCAGTTGGAGCTGAGTTTGAATCCATACTCTCCTGTTCACTGGTCCTCGGACTTTTGTCAATTATATGGCTTTTTTGAACTCCTGTTTTCTTGTCTCTTAAAATAAGAGAATTACAGCCTGCTGCTAGAGTTTTTAATCAGGGTAAATGATTTGTGTCTATAAAATGCCACGTACAGTGACAGGCTCGTTAGTGCTGCTCAACGAGAACCGGGTTATCGTCTCTTCTTCTGCATTTCAGTGCTCGGCAAGACATCGGGGGAAGGCCAGTTCCTAGTTTGTGTGTGATGCAAGTAGAAAAGCTAATGTGTTGCATTTCTCTAGCTGTATTCTTGGTCCTTTGCTTCATTTACCTCCTTCCTCCTTTTCTTTCCTCTTTCATCTCCTCCACCAAAAGAGCCTGAGACTTTCCCATGCACCCGGAGCACTAGATTAAAATTGCTTTTAAGGTTGGTTCATCACTGTGAAATGACAGTGACATAAGAAATATCTGCACGCGTCCCAGATTTGATTGTATATGATTTGTACGCACACACATATCTGTCTGCCTCCCACTTGCTGAGGGAGAAGGACCACCTTTGGTTTCCATTCGCTGAGAGTGAGAGCGAAGTCTTTTAGGCAGACTTTTGCCTGGCTTCTTGAATGATTTTTTACTGGATTTCTGCTTTGTGGCCAAAGGGGTAGTCTGCTATTAGAAGAGATGAAGTGGAGATGTAGACATTCTGCTGAGATACTGGTGTCATCATCTTTGAGTTGGAAGGAACTTAAGACAGCAGAGTCTTACGACTTTTTATGGGTGAGAATCCATAGTGGCAGATTTTGAACTAGAACCTGGGTCTTCTGTCTTCATGTCCACGCGGATGAAGAGGCAGCGGGGTGGGGGATGGCAGGCACCCTTCTTGCTTGAGTTCCAGGGTCTTGTGGATTTTCATTGCTCACCTGCCTTTAGTTTATGTCCATGTGGCCTCTTACATGAAGGTCACTCTGTCCTGATAGATTGAGCTTCTAATCAGCAGAAAGTTCTGGGGCCACTCATGTTCCCCAGAGCTTTTCTGCTGGCCTTCTGACACTTTGTAAATGAGACTGAAGAAACTGTTCGGTGTGAAATCCTTACTGTTACTGTTTGCCCTCGAGTCCCATATGTACGGGGTGCTGTCTAAGGCTGTGTAAGGCAAGATCTGAACAAAGATAGGGTGATAGTCTGTGCTGCTGGCATTGCCACTGCAGTTTTAGAGTCAGACACACCTGAGCTAAAATCCTACCTTCGCCAATTAGAAACTTTGTATGTTGGGCAAGAAACTTTACTCTTTTGGGTCTCATTTTCTTTATCTGTAGATAAGTTCAGTATTTATTTTAGGGTTTTTGTTTTAGAATTGAATGAAATAATCTCCTCATTTATTCCTGAAATACTGATTGCATGGTTCTATGCTGGTGTCCTGGCCTTGGCAGCTGATTGCCAGGGACTGAGCAGTGAGAGCAGCTGTGGCCCCAGGTCCCAGAGCTTGTGTTCCGGGGTGTGCTTGTAAAAGACTGGGTGCGAGGTAGAGTTTTAGTGAATGTCCCTTCTTTGCCTGGTCCCCATTGATTGTGGGTATCTTTCTACTAATATATGAATAATTTTGTATGATTGCAGTTAAATCTCTTTTAATATTTAAAATATGGAACTATAACCAAAATATGTGAAAAAAATGAATTGACTTTTATTTTCCTTTCAGTGGAAGTTGCTTTAAGAGTTTTGAAGGAACAGAAATTATTTTATTTCCATGGAATCAAGTCCCTGTGTTAGGTTTTTTGGTTGTTGTTAAATGGTATATAAAATGGGTAAATTTTGGCTTCCGTGTTGGTAGTTAGGTTGTCTTTGATGGATTATTTGCAGTAGATCATAAATGACGTGCGTGTCACATATTGGAAATGAAGGAACAGTGGAGATGTGCTGCTTCCGACAGTCATTTCTCTTCCTACCTCGTAAGTAATTTCAGTAAGAAGCGTGAGCCAATTGTGTGTTTTTGCGACTTGGTAACCAGTGAGTGGCCGACTGCCTTTCCGTGAGTCGTGCCGGCCTCGGGGTCTTAGTGAATGCTTATTGGGGGTGGTCGGCCCTGCAGCACGTCTGATGCCTCCGTGAGTGCCGGTGAGGGTCCCCCAGCCTGGGGCTCTCTTCAGGCACCAGCTTACGTGTGTTTACCTCCGGAAACCTCTTTTTCAGCTGCAGGGAATTTTTTCAGATAACTCGATTGAAAATCACTCCAGCTGGGGATAATTGGGACAAAAAGGAAAAGGGTTTGGAGTAGAAGAGAAGAGGGGCAGAAGAACAGGGAGGCAGTGGGGCCTCGGGAGAGAGGAACCAGCTCCTGTGCCTGTCCCTGCGCCCGAGCCACACAGCTTGTAGGTGGCCGGGGACCCCTCTCCTGGATGGATATCACTGTGGGCAGAAGCTTGAGAGCTGAAGGTGAGGGCGGGGCAGCACTCGCCCAGGGCGGGTCACCGAGGTCTTCGGTCCAGTCCACGGTGCCTTTTCTGGTCGTGTGTCTTCCCTTGTTCATCTCAGGATCTGAGGAGCAAGAGCAAGGAACTCAGAGAAATCCAGGCAGACATCCAACTGTGTTGACAGGAGGGACACAGTGACACGGGGAGCTAGGACTTTTGTAACAAAGTAAAAAGGATTTGCAGCTAGTACAGCAGAGCTGCAGGTGTGAGAGTCCAAGACTGTCTCAGAGTGCAAGAGACAAGTGGAAAGGAATGGCGAACTTTCCATGGACCCCGTTGTGAAATTTTGTAAAATATCCCGCTGCTGTTGGTTGAATTACCTGAGTGAATGCAAACATGTTTCTGTGGGCGTTTACAGGCTCACTCAATCCCGCCAGCCCCTCTTGCCCCCATCAGGGGTGGGCTTTCTCAGGCACAAGTCCTCACCCTCAGGCGGCGCCGCGGGTCCTCGTGCTGCGGACGGGCTGCTGCGGGGCATTGAGTCCCTGTGGCTCGGTCTGCGCAGCGTGACAGGAACATCTGTACTCTGCTCTTTTGACTGAGGGGCCTCCTTTTCCCCCTGCAGTATAAGAACGCCGGGGTGATTGAATTAGAAGCGTGCGTCAAAGCCGTCCGCGTCCTCGCCATCCAGAAGCGGAGTATGGAGGCTTCCGAATTTCTCCAGAATGCGGTTTACATTAACCTGCGACAGGTGAGTGGGTGTCCTCTCACAAGTGGAAGAGTTGATGCAGTTCTCCTGGAAACTTTTCTCCTCGAGTCCATCTGATTTTTCTGTGTTGATTCAGTATGGCCTGCTATAAACTCTGCAGTCAGAGCTTGAAACCCGGATGAATGGGGGTCTTTATTTTACCTCTTTATACCATAGTCTTTTACTTTCCAAATTCAGAATTTTCGGTTCTTTCAGAAGTTTTTCGGGGGATTGGAGAAACAGCTTTGCTCTCACCAGCTTTGTGACCTGCTGCTTTATGCCTGTCACTTGCCTGACTTCTGTCGCCTGTGAGCTGGTTCCGTTTGTGGCCCTGTCCTGGTGGTTCATGTTATAAAACACGAAGTTTGTGAACGTACAGTTCCTTTTACACTGAAGGCATTCCACAGATGTCACTTAATCTGGATGTGTTTGTAACAAGACAGAATCGTTAGAACGTTTACTTGCAGGTCGCTAGTGCAAAACCCCTGGGTTGACAGTCCAGGTGAAAATCTAAAATCTTTCTAATCTACCTGGATCTTTATGGATAAGGCATCCGAGACTCAAAGTTTACTTAAGGACCCGAGACCAGGATTAGAACACAGGCTGGTGCAACGTAGCAGGTCTTCCCTGAGCCCGGCCTTGTGCTAGAGGGCGGGGGGAGAGGTGGGGAAGGCAGGTCCTGCCCTCACCGGGCTGACAGTTCACGGCAAAGACCTTCACCTGGTGAAGAACTTGAAGTTGATTTTAAGAGCAGTGGGTTTTGAAAGAAAGGTCTTAAGAGCACGGGAGTGACACAATCCTACTTGTCTCAAGTAGGGGAGAGGGTGGGGGGGCCGGTTGGGAGACTTGAGTCCAGGTGGGCAGTGTTGGTGGCTTCCACCTGAGCAGTGCGACGGTCAGTGGAAAAAAGCGAACAGCTTGAAGACATGTTTAGGTGGTAAAAGGGAGAGGATGAATGATGTCTGTGAGGGTCAGATGGAGTAAGGCCCAGGCTTCTGGGTGGATTAATGAGGTAAATGATGATCCTGCTGTGCTCTGAGAGGGGAAAGCTGCCGAGGGAGTTCTGGGGGAAAAGTGATGAGTTCAGCTGTGGGTAAAGTGAAAGGCTATTAGATGTGTGGGTCTGGGGGTTCAGGAGGGGGAGGGTGGGGGGAGGGAAGAGAGACTTTAAAATCATTTTGTCTTGTGAACATATAAAAAGTTATGAGTAATAAGACACTCATGCCTCTGAAATCCGTATTTGACCCATTAACATTTTGTCATATCGACTGCAGAGGTTCTTAATTTTTTAAATAGAAATAAAATAGAAACAAAATAATGGAGTTAATGAACATCTTAGAGTTGATGTGTATCCTCCTGGTACGTATTTTGATACCTCATCTGTTTATGACCCTAATCTATAAAACGTTAACTAGTTTAGTGTAAGAGTTAAGCAGAGGGACTCGATATACATTCTTGGGCCTTGAAGCGGACCTCTTGGGCGGAGGGTTTAGCCTCTCTGCGCCTTCCTTCCGTCTCCTGTGACTGCCCCTGGGCCCCTCGCCATAGCTGATTTCCTAGACTAGACGTTGGGAGGGCGGCTGCTCAAGGGGGTGGGAAGTGGCAACTGCCAGGGGCACCGAAGCGAGAGACGATAAACCAAGTGCAAACAAATACCCCGAAAAGAGAAAGAATCCCACAGTGTTTTGAGCCACTTCGTGTAAGGGAGACAAAACCACGTGGACCCAAAGCTCTTGAGCACATCAGTGTCGTGGGTGGGCAGGTGTCATCAGAAAAGGGTTGAGAAAGGTCTTTTGGTTTCCCTTGACGTTTCCGGTAAAGGTGGGCAGGAGAAGTGAAAACCCACCGCTTCACAGTGGAAGGTGCCGTTTTACGGGAAACCAACCCAAGGGTGGAAACCAGCCGTCAGTGGTGCTGGCAAACGATGGACATCTGGATTGGATGGGCCACTTACCGCGACTTCTGGATGATCTGCTGGGTGGGGGCGGTGAGCCGGGTAGTAGGTTTGCAGGGTGACCCGGGCATAATCCTGGCTCTGAGGCTGCTGGTGTAATGAGCAGACCTGGGCACATGCAGTCCTAATGGGGTGGCCCGGGATGTGGCCGGGGACACCTGCAGTGCTGAGGATGAGAGGAGGGCTCCCCCAGTGAGGTGTCCCTGTGAAGAGTGGAAACCTCCACCTGCAAGGGCAGAAGAGGCTCTGAGCAGGGGGCCGGGTGCACATGCACGACCAGCCTGAGCACAGAGAGCTCAGGGAACCAGAAGTCATTCGGGCCCAAGCAGCTTTGCTCCTGAGAAACTGTGGAGGGAGATGCTGAAAAGGCAGGCTGGGGTCGGACCCTGTGCTGGGTCATGAGTGACAGGAAAGGACTGGTCAGGCAGGCATGAGAGAACCCTGTGGGTGTCCCAGCTGGGGCGTCACGCCGGCGGGGAGGAGCAGAGTCATGGACTTTGCCACTTATTAGCTGCATGACCTTGAGCAGGATCACTCTGCCTCTCTCTCTGTCTTCATCTGTAATGGGACAGAATGACGAGCTCATGTCATCAGAAGGCTTAGTTTAGCTCCGATCTTGGTGGCCAGTCCTGTCTCAGTGCTACCCTGCAAGGCCCCTCAGCAGCTGCTCTCATACGGAGGTCGGAGGGCGTGGAGGGACAACTGTAGCGCCCGAGGGCAGGAGGGAGGGTGCTTCCAACCTGGACATTTGACTGCCTGCAGCTGCAGGCGGTTTGGTTGAGGTCGTGGGGGGTACTTTGGAGGACCCAGCGTCTTGAGACTTGCTTGCCCCTCGGGGACCGGAATTGCCTTTGCAAGTTGATGTTGAGAATTTGGGCTCCTGGCAAAGCTGTTTTCACAGGTGGGTATATACATAACATGTATAAAATAAAATTCTTTTATTTAATGTGTGAAACTTCGCAGCTGTTGGAAACAGCCCTCCTGCTTTGTTGGCCGGGTCTCCACGGAGGACACTAGGGGTCAGCAGAGGTGTGCGGAAGAGTAGGCAGCCCGCCGTGCTGCTGCCCGTGTGTCCCCCAGCGGGACGCTCTGTGGAGTTGACTCAGCTCTGCGTTTGGTTGCCAGATGAGCAGACAGCAAAATAATGAGTTCTGGTGGGATTTTATAATGACAGGAACAAAGGAGGACCTGTAGTTTTTCTGGACTAGAACATGCTTTTGGTTCTTGATCCAGTGTGTTCCATTGTAGAATTGTGGAGTTGTAAAAATTCTGGGACTGATTTTGGCTGATCTTGAAACTTTGAAGGAACCAAGATGGAATTATCGCAGGTGCCTTCTGCTTAAGAAGCTCTGTGTAAACATAAACACGGATAAAGCATGCATTTGGGTTTAGTGGTGTAGACGAGGGTTTCTGCACGTCACAGAAGGCAAGGCAGAATTCCCCTTTGTGGACAGGGACGTGGGTCTTGTCTTCAGCGGTTTACGAGAGTAGTTTATGGTAATTAACTAGCACTGACAAACAGCACACGTTGCATTTAAGAGCTGGCCGGCTGTAGACTGTGTATTGGACAGGTGGGTTTCACAGGCACGTGGTCAGGTGGATGGGAGAGAGAAGGAGCGCAGGCCTTGCACCCCAGGTTCAGGTTCAAGTCGCCATTTCCTCACCGTAGGACCTCGGACTAGAATGTAAGCTCCCTTAGCCTGTTGGTGAATCTGTAAAATGGGCGTGATAATATTCATTTCTTCCTGGATTTGTTGATAACTCCCATGAAGCACTTAACACACGTCCTGACGCTTAGCAGCGTTCACTGTGTATGTCCGCCCCGCGGGTGACGTGTCAGAGCAGTAAGGACGTCTTGTGTCTGTTGAGGACCCACTGGTAGAGACTTGACTAGGTTGCACATTTGGTTCTTTCATTTAATCCTTGTAACCCTGTGTGTTATGGGCAGTTATTCCTATGGACAAATGAGGAACCTCAGGCTAAAGAAGACTGTGTAATTTGTCCCAAGTCAGGCCATAATTTCGGGTGCAGGGGCCTCGGGAAAGCATGCGCGTCTGGGCTTTCTGCCCTCTACGTTCAGCGCCAGGGTCGGGCGCGGGGCTGGGGTTGGGGTCGGCTGTCTCCCAGCCCAGGATATCCAGCTGGCAGCGAAACAGACCTGGCTCTGAGCTGCTTCAGCAGAAACTCTGGAGAGGGAGGCAGGTACTAAAGGGATAAACATAAAAACAGATGACGACAAACTGTGATCAGCTCTGAAAAGGAAAGGAACACGCCTCGCCCCGCAGAGCTGGGAGTTTTCCCGTCAGGGCTGCTCTGGGGGCGTTAGTCTTGGCTGAACAAGTTCTGCTCCTGGACCAAGGCAGGAAGGCAGGGCGTGTGTTACCAGGTAGACTGGGCCTCGTTGACATACTCACTCCCAGTTAAGCAGCCAGCTGTCGTGGGCACTTACCTGGTAAACAGATACAAGCCACAATCATCACGCACTTTGCTCGGTAGTTTTATTGGACCCAACTTGAGAGATGAGGTAACAGGCCGGGGTGTTTGCTGCATGCCCATGATTACCTGGGAAGTACCTCCACTGGTATTTAAATCCAGTTTGTGTGGTGCTAACGTCCCAGCTCTGTGAACGGTGTCGTGTAGCTCCCCACAAGCAGCCCAAATGACTGAAATTAACTTTCTTAATTAGTAGGAAATGGTATGTGACAATAAGAGAAAGAGGTAGTAAGGAATTGTTTGGAAAACTAGAAAAAAGCCCAGGACTTCCCCAGCTGGGGGAGTGTGCTCCGGGACCAGTGCCATTCACCCACTGCCCGGCACTGCCTCCCTGCCTCCCTGCCTCCCGTTCCACCCAGGGTTCAGGACCCACTCTGAGCCGTTTAAGAACGCCTGGACTCGTGACACTGTTGACTAGAACCTGCGACCTCTCTGTCCCTGGTTAACTTTCTCTTCAAAGCCATTTACATTTTATGCAGGCTACTCCACTCAGATGTACAGATAGCCTCTTTAAACTTCTTGATGCAGTTCCTTAATGAAGCTGTTGCTAAGGAAA